TGTACAACCTGACCAGGTCGGCGATACGCACTCCAATTTCATACTTATCAATGATCTCTTTCTTCATCTCTATTGGAATTCTCACCCTTATTGCTGTAGGGTTGGCACTAGAAGCTTTCTTGGGGCCCATGGTCACTTATTTTCCAGAAAAAGCACCGAAAACACTGTAATAATACGAAATATTCCGATTGTATGCTTGGATGTTACCGCGGAGGCTGGCTGGTAAACAATGCCACCGGCGGCACATGTGAGGCTGGCTGAGGGCGCACATTGGACGCGTCTCGGACGAAAATCGGTGGGCGGGTTTTTAAGCGGTATGCGAGGCAAAATTTTTGTGATTAAAGCAAGCGGTATGCGGATTAATCGTTATGTGATGCCATCGGTATGCGGGGGTCCACTGTATCTGAAAACATTCACTTCTTCCATACTCCTCCTCCCCAATTTGATATCCAATTTTTCTTTATCTAAATCATTTGATACCCTCATCACCTTACTCTTTTCTATGTTCACTTTCAACTTTCTACCTTTACACACATTCTCAAACTCATCCACTAACCTTTGCAATTTTTCTTTAGAATCTCCCATAAGCACAGTATCATCAGCAAAAAGTAACTGTGTCAATTCCCATTTTGAATTTGATTCCCCATGATTTAATCCCACCCCTCTCCCGAACACCCTAGCATTTACTTCTTTTACAACCCCATCTATAAATATTTTAAAAACAACCATGGTGACATTACACATCCCTGTCTAAGACCTACTTTTACCGGGAAGTATTCTCCCTCTCTTCTACACACCCTAACCTGAGGCTCACTATCCTCATAAAAGCTCTTTACAGCATTTAGTAACTACCACCTATTCCATAAACTTGCAACATCTGCCACATTGCTCCTCTATCCACTCTATCATATGCCTTTTCTAAATCCATAAATGAAATAAAAACTTCCCTACCTTTATCTAAATACTGTTCACATATATGCTTCAAGGTAAACACTTGATCTACACATCCCCTACCCACTCTGAAGCCTCCTTGCTCATCCGCAATTCTACATTCTGTCTTACCTCTAATTCTTTCAATTATAACTCTACCGTATACTTTTCCTGGTATACTCAGTAAACTTATTCCTTTATAGTTTTTACAATCTCTTTTGTCCCCTTTCCCTTTATATAAAGGGACTATACATGCTCTCCGCCAATCCCTAGGTACCTTCCCCTCTTTCATTACATTTATTAAACAAAAGTACCAACCACTCCAACACTATATCCCCCTCTGCTTTTAACATTTCTGTCATGATCCCATCAGTTCCAGCTGCTTTACCCCTTTCATTCTACGTAATGCCTCACGTACCTCCACCACACTTACATTCTGCTCTTCTTCACTCCTAAAAGATGGTATACCTCCCTGGCCAGTGCATGAAATTACCGCCTCCCTTTCTTCCTCAACATTTAAAAGTTCCTCAAAATATTCTCGCCATCTACCTAATACCTCCCTCTCCCATCTTCTAACTCCCCTACTCTGTTTTTAACGGACAAATCCATACTTTCCCTATGCTTTCTTAACTTGTTTAACTTACTCCCAAAATTTTTTCTTATTTTCATTAAAATTTCTTGACAGTGTCCCCTCCCACTCTTTCATCTGCTCTCCTTTTGCACTCCTCACCACTCTCTTCACCTTTCTTTTACTCTCCATATACTCTGCTCTTCTTATGACACTTCTGCTTTGTAAAAACCTCTCGTAAGCTACCTTTTTCTCTTTTATCACACCCTTTACTTCATCATTCCACCAATCACTCCTCTTTCCTCCTGCCCCCACCCTCCTATAACCACAAACTTCTGCCCCACATTCTAATACTGCATTTTTAAAAAATATTCCAACCCTCTTCAACCCCCCCACTACTCATCTTTGCACTAGCCCACCTTTCTGCCAATAGTCGCTTATATCTCACCCGAACTTCCTCCTCCCTTAGTTTATACACTTTCACCTCCCTCTTACTTGTTGCCACCTTCCTCTTTTCCCATCTACCTCTTATTCTAACTGTAGCTACAACTAAATAATGATCTGATATATCAGTTGCCCCTCTATAAACATGTACATCCTGGAGCCTACCCATCAACCTTTTATCCACCAATACATAATCTGACAAACTACTTTCATTACGTGCTACATCATACCTTGTATATTTATTTATCCTCTTTTCATAAAATATGTATTACTTATTACCAAATTTCTTTCTACACATAGCTCAATTAAAGGCTCCCCATTTACATTTACCCCTGGCACCCCAAATTTACCTACTATTCCCTCCATAACATTTTTACCCACTTTAGCATTGAAATCCCCAACCCCATTACTCTCTCACTTGATTCAAAACTCCCCACGCATTCACTCAACATTTCCCAAAATCTCTCTCTCCTCTACACTTCTCTCTTCTCTAGGTGCATACACGCTTATTATAACCCACTTTTCACATCCATAATAAACAATGCAGGCATTCCTGGCACTAAACTAACATTTCCTCTGTTCATTAGTTACATTTTCAGGCTTTACTTTGAATTTCATTTTGATTTTTTTATTCACATAATGAATTTTTATTCAAACCAAAAAAATAGAAGATTTGCAGGTATGCAATATTGTAATAATTGTATAAATAATATCAGCACATTTGTGAACGTATATTAGACCCATGAGCAGGCATGTATTAGACGTGTGAGGTCATTTGTTTACTGTCGAACATCGGCAAGAATTTAACATTTCCGCTACTTTGAGCTCGGTTTCAATCTATTTCCAGTACTAAAACCAATCAAAGTCATCTCTATTTCTGTAATATATCTTCCATTCTATCAAATGATACCAAGAAATTGCAAATACAACTATAAAAACATACGAAAAGACACTGCAAATTCGCTGTTTTAATCGAAAATTACGTGTGCTGCAGGATTTGGTTCATGTGGTGCACACATACCATATAGATGTATTTTCTCATATCTTGACCAAAATTTACCGCTTCCAGCTTATCAGAGTGAGCTGAGCTCATGATGTAGATCTATGATTTGACCCTCAGCATAAAGCTGTAGATCTACGGCACGGACCCTCAAGAGGTTAAATTTGGAGTTCGTTGAATTTTATGTAAGAATTGACATATTTCTGATTTCTTTTCACTTTATAAGGAAGTTTTGATAGATAAAATGGCGAGTTCATGTGATTAACCCTTTCGGGGTTTCGGCCATACTAGTATGGCTTACGCGCCAGGGTTTTCGGCGTACTAGTACGCATAAATTCTAGCGCCCTCAAATCTAGCAAGAGAAAGCTGGTAGGCCTACATATGAAAAAATTGGTCTATGTGGTCAGTGTGTGCAGTATAAAAAGATCCTGCAGCACACAGTGCGTAATGATAAAAAAAAAAACTTTGACCTTGTTTTTGGTTTAAAACCGGCTTTGCACTGTATTTTTGTATGGTACTTAATGTTGTATTCTAGTTTTCCTGGGCTCATTTTTATAGAATGGAAGACGTATTACAGAAAATGAGATGATTTTGACTGGTTTTACAATGAAAAGTACCTTGAAATTGAGCTCAAAGTAGCAGAAATGTTCGATTTTTACCAAAGTTCAAAAGTAAACAAATCATGCTAAGCGTTCAATACATGTCAACTGGTGAGTCTAATATTCTTTCACAAGTGTGCCGATATTATTTTATACCATTTCTACACTAATGCAGTAGTCTGCATAACAGTAAATCTTATTATTTTTGTGAGAATAAAAATCAAAGTGGAAAGCAAAGAATGTAAGAGGGGCCTGGTGATATGACTAATGAACAGAGGAAATGTTATTTTAGTGCCCGGAATGTCTTTCTTTTTATTCTGGACCCTATTTGGAAATTGGCATCTTTTGAAATTTGTGTGAAATTGGTAAAATTGGTAAGTTCTGACCACTTTATTAGATATTTGAAATTGGTAAATGGATGGTTTCTTGTACTCATTCGATAGAAAAAATGGAGTTCTAGCGAAATATTATGATTTTTGTTGACTAGTACATTGGAATTGGCCGAAAAAAAAAAGGGCTCAAAGTGGGCAAAATCGCCGATGCGTAAACATTATCGAGACCACTAAATTCGCGAGAGCATAATTCCACAAGTTTTCCATCAAATTTTCATACTTTTGGTGTCATTATGATCAGGAAAAGATGCTCTGTCTTTTCATAAGAAAAAATTATTATTTTTTTTTTTTTTTAAATTTTGGGGAACCCTGAGAACAAGTTTTCTGAGAGGGCCTGGCAACCCTCAAAGGGTTAATCAATAGAATTGGCATAGACTTAAAATTGACCTCAAACTGGGGATAATTGCTGATGTGTAAATTGTGCCTAGACTGCCAAATTCCCATGTGTATTTCCATGAGTTTTTATCAGATACCTTCAGAGAAAGATAATCTACCATTTTAGAAGATAAAAAAAAAAATGCATCACTGACAGCACTCAGAATTTCTGGGGTTGAGTTAATAGAAGGGTTAATAGTAATTTTTATAACAAGGTTACCTATTTTTTATTTTTCCTTAGCAACCATCTCTCATTTATTCAGGGCGAACAAAAAAAAAAAAGTGAAATATTCTTGAAATTTTAAATCTCATATCTATTAGTTGCTGTAAGTGCTAATCTTCACAATTTCTTACTATTTTCAGGATCGAGGGGACATTGCAGCTGGTAAACAGTTTGTTCCTGGAGCACTAGTTAACATTGACTATTGGCAGGGTTATGATGCAGACGAGATGATGCTCACAGGCTATCCTGTCACCACTGCATCATCCCTACACCCTCAAGTTCTTTGCTTCCGTTGTGGCTCCGTTGGAAAAGAGCAGGTAAATTTCTTATACTGTAAGAAGTATGAGGATTTTTCTTGAAGATTGCATAGCTTTGTTATAACTATTTTATAAGAATACAGTTTATTCAAGGTATGTAGTAGGTCCCCCACTTGTGACCCTAATACATTCCTGAGAATTCTTGTTACTAAGAGTGTTTGGAACTTAAAACTTTTTTTTCATAGACAGCCATATTTTAGGCTTAGATTCATTTCTAAGCTGTAATATTCCTTTTCTGTATGAAAACAATGGACCAAGTCCTTTGGTCGCAGAATTATTCATTATTGTTACAATTATAGCAAGACAGTCCTTTCTCTATCCACCACAATTGCCATTACTGACCACCTGATCACCCCATTTAGTATGTTTAACCTTTGAGGATCCAGACCCCCAGTCTGAAAATTCCACACAGGGTCCAAGTGTCAGTAGTGTTATTGATTCCCTATGTGATATACTTGTGCAGTTATCCCCAGCTATGTTATACAAGCTTCCCTGTCCAGCTATACCAGTACCCGTTAGTCACCGCATCCCTACACCAACACCGTTAGTGATTTACCGACTGTTAGTGACTCACTGCTGACCTAGCATGATGTCACTAGCTCTCCATGCCCTCCAGGCACTGAGCAGTCACTTGAACCCAGGACAGTGTAGAGTGAGGTCAGGCTCTGGTGCTACACATATCTTAATATACGCTACCTAGACATCCAGCGAGTGTATTCATTCTCCAATTCTATCACCACCTAATCCGTTACGACACAATAATTAAAAAAACAAAAATTATTATTTTTCATGTGAAATGGTAGAGAATCTCCTTCTGAAGATAATGAAACAAAAAGTACGAAATTTTATAAAAAAAAAAAAATTATGAAAGTACGCTCTCGAGAACTTAGCTGTGTCAGCGATATTTATGCATTGGCGATTTTGCCCACTTAAGTCCAGTTTTCAGCCAATTACTTTGTTCCATTTTACCAGATTCTTGGCTGTTTGGCTATTTCATGTATGACAGGGTGGATATGGGAGCAGTGTGACAGATGTTGCAAATGTATGGAATAGAGAGGTTGGTTACTGAAAGCAGTTAAGAATTTTTACGAGGATAGTGAGGCTCAGGTTAGAGTATATAGGCGAGAGGGAGATTATTTCCCAGTAAAAGTAGGCCGTAGACAACGATGTGTGATGTCACCTTGGTTGTTCACTATATTTATAGATAGGGGTTGTAAGAGAAGTGAATGCTCAGGTGTTAAAAAAGAAAATAGTGTATGTGTTGAAAAACTAGAGAAAAATTTTTGTTCAGTTTTAATTTCTCTGTATATTACCAACGGGGTAAACCATAGAATTGTTGAAGGGGAAGAAGTTGGTGGTGCATTAAGGTATTGGTTGAGACAAAAAAGAACATTATCCATGAAGGTACAGAAGGGAATGTATGAGTATATAGTGGTAACAACACTTACGTGGGGTGTGAATCATGGGTTATGAATGTTGCAGCAAGGAGGCTAGAGACAGTTGAGATGTGTGTGTGGGCAATGTGTGGCATAAATATTATGCAGAGAATTCATAGCTTGGAGATTAGGAGGTGGTGTGAAGGGGTTGTTGAGGTGGTTTGGTCATTTAGAGACGATGGAGCAAATTAGGATGACTTGGAGGGTGTAAATCTCTAGTGGAGGGAAGGCAAGGTAGGGATTGTCCTAGGAGAGAATGGAGGGAGGGGATAAAGGAGATTTTGTGTGCAAGGGGATTGAGTTGGCATGTATGAGCATATTAGATAGGAGTGGATACAGATGGTCTTTGTGTGAAGGGATTCAAGGAAACCGGTTAGCCAGATTCGAGTCCTGGAGGTGGGAAGTACAATGCCTTCACTCTACTTGGGTTGGGAATATTTGGTGTTTGGAGGGACATCTGAACTGTCATATCTGCATTCCTCTGGCAAGACAGTAATAGTGTGAATGATGGCAAAAGTGTTTTGTTTTTGGGTCACCTGCCTCAGTGTGAGATGGCCAGTGTGTTAAGAAAACAACAACAACAAAAAAAAAGGAATCTATCACCAAGGTGGATGTCCCAGATGTAATAATGATTATCTGTAGTGCTATGCCAAGATCTGTCAGACAATCGTGAAGTTTTCACATTTGCATAAATGAACACAAACTGTTAATGTATTTAGTAAGGAACTGAGAAAAGCATGACTAATTCGACATAATGAAATCCAAATTAAGAAATCAACTGCTCTTTTTCTATTCTCTACCAAATGAACCCAAAGTCTCTGTACATGCATAAACTTATTATTGCATCTGGTAAAAATGTAGGAAAAAATATTTATAATTCACATTGACAGAATTGTAACTACATTATCTACAGTTCTTGATCAGTCTCTACCAAACAACTGTGAAATATCCACATAATCAAAATTCATGATTATGGCTTCTCCTCACTTAACAACGGAGTTCCGTTCCTAAGACCATGTCGGTAAATGAATTAGTCACTAAGTGAGGAGCATACTGTAATGGTAATGGGTTTGTGTCATCCATCTTTGTTATTATTTTAATGTCATCTTTGGACCATTTATAACATTTCTGGCATATTTTTAAATGTTTATACAGTAGTGTACTCTATATAGTAATAAACAGAAGAGAGGGAATCAGCTTTAATATACGTACAGTGGTACCTCGGGATACAAACCTAATTCGTTCCAGAATGCTGTTCAAGTGTAGATCTGTTTGAGTACCGAACGAATTTGTTCCCATAAGGAATAATGTAAAGTAGATTAATCCGATTCAGACTCTCAAAAATACACTTACAAAGGCACTTACAAAAATACACTTGCATAATTGTTCAAGTTCGTATCCCGAGGTACCACTGTACATTATTTAGGTACGCATACTGGTCAGAGAGCCTGTCGTAAGTTCGAGTCGTCAGTAAACGAGTACATCGCTAAGTGAGGAGAGACTGTATCAGTGCATTTAGTGAAAATTAGTTGAAAATAACTTGTGTTTGGAGTGACATCTAAACTGTCGTATCTGAGCGCCATTGAGCTCAGATACGACAGTTTAGATGGTGATTATGTATGGTGATTATGTATGAATGATGGTAAAAGTGTTGAATGGTGAAAGTTTTTATTCTTTTCGGGTCATCCTTCCTCGGTGGGAAACGGCCAACATGTTAAGAAAAATTGATGCAGGCAGATGATATCAATTTTTTCCCTGTTTCAAATTAATTAACCCTTTGACTGCTGTGACCCCAAATCCTGAAGTGTGTCTGTGTCGCAGAATATTCGAAAAAAAAAAAAAAGATTTTTTCTTATGAAATGATAATCTTTTCCTGAGGGTAATGACATGGAATTACGCTCTTGCGAAGTTAGCAATCTTGGCGATACAGTGAACCTCCAACTTACGAAGGCCTCATCTAATGATAAAATCGACTTACGAAGTGTTTCAGCGTAAAAAAATTCTCCCAACATACAAACAAAAACTCGACTTGCATCATTCGTCCCGAACGCTTCCACACGTCCCGTCTGGCCTGGGCGCACCTTAGCTGCCCTGCCTCCAGTTAGTGTGCTAGTGTTTACAAGCCAGTGCGGTCGTTCCCATGCATACATTTGGTACATTTTGTATTCCAGTGTTTTTAGTGCTTGTAACTGCTAAATAAGCCACCATGGTCCCAAAGAAAGCTTCTGGTGTCAACCCTGTGGCAAAAAGGGTGAAAATTACTATTGAAATGTAGAAAGAGATAATCACAGAATGTGAGAGTGGAGTATGTCTCCAAGCTAGCCAGGTTGTACAACAAACCCCCAATCAACCATCGCTACTATCTTGGCAAACAAAAAGGCAATCAAAGAAGCTATTGTTGCAAAAGGTGCAGGTATCTTTTTGAAACACAGATCGCAAGTACTCAATGTTGAGAGACTGTTATTGGTGTGGATAAGCGAAAAACAGATATCAGGAGATAGCATCTCTCAAGCGATCATATGTGAAAAGGCAAGGCAGTTGTGTGACGATTTAACCCCTTCAGGGTCCAAGGCCAAAATCTGAAGTGGTGCTCCAGTGTCCAAGAAATTTTGGAAAAAAAAAAAAAAAAAAACAGAATTAAAGAGCATATTTTTGTGAAGGTAATAAGACAAAAAAAAAAATTCTGATCAGTACTTACCGAGATACAGTGCCAAGAAGTTTGTCCAAAATGATGTGGTGGCGGCAACATCGACGAATTCCACATACGCGCATTACATTATTTTGCGGTTTTGCTTTTTTTTTCTTTTTTTTCCAATTTTTTTCTATTCCTACAAAACATTTGGGGCCTGAGAGACCAATACTGTATATAATGTATATATATATATAAAAACTCACTGTATTGAACACAATAACCGCACTAAAGTTATTATCATATTATTGTTTTACCACTTTTGTTTATTACAATAAACATGCACAAATTTTGTATAATACTAATGTTCTATCATATTTTTTACATATTTACAATCACTACATGGTTTTAGAACTGCTGGACTTGTGGAACTCCTTGAAACAGGCACCATGCACAGAGGCACCTTACATTCCTCACACATAAACCAAGTGTCTTTGCGTCTTTGTTGCCGTCGTTTTGTTGTGCACAGACATGCATCTCTTCTGAGAAAAATTTCTTCTTGAGTTGAAGGAAGTTGTATTATGAAATATCACCTTCCCTCCTCAAACGCTTGGGAAATATCCTGAGGAATTCGAGGACCGTTTTGTATAGCAGGTGTTCTTACCTGGTACTTCATTATGAGTTGTCTGACAACAGACAAACAAAATTCACCATACGGTGGTCTGTTGCCAGTCTTTATTTGGTACATATTATATCATTGAGCATTGAAATGCCCCATGAGATGGAAAAAAAAGTTCATGTACCACTTGTAACTCTTACAAACACAGTCAACAAAACCAATCTGCATGTCACATTGTCAACCAAGCGCATGTTTTGTGTATAATCAATCACTGTCCTGGTTTTCGAATACGTTCATTAGTCACTTGATCAACTTT